GTTATCATGTTTTTACTATACAGTATATACTACATGCTTCTTTGGTTGTTCTATATTCTCTTTTTTCTCAAGTGGGAGATAACCAATTGTATTACAATCGTATCTCCAATCATATGTGAGAATGTTAGAACAGAGTTAAATGGAAGGTGGGGAAAATCAGAAGAGCTTAGATTCTAGCACTTGTCAGCTCTACTTCCAGGTTAAATGAAGCCTGCGCATCTTCAGCTGAATGTGGTTATAGAAATACTAAAAAATGAAAAAGCACTGATGGTAACATTGGAACTGCAATGGTCTTTCATTAAAGAAGGAAAAATCCTGATTAATGAAACAGCACCTAACGATTTCTAATATAGCTTTATTCAATACAATAGATTGGATTTTTAAATATATCTATCTAGCCATTGAGTTTCAAGCCGTTGCTGATGTCAAAGCTTTGATCAGAAATAAAAATATTACTTAATACTGTAATCACTTAATAGGTTTTGCTGGTGTTCTGCACATTCTGAACATAGCACTTTGTGGTCATTTGTAATAATAGTAGGATTAAATAGTTTATTTTGAAATACTTCACATTTCAAGCATAGAGAAGGCATGCTCTGTCTAAGGGTGCTTTTCCCTCAATAGTCACATACGGTTTTTCATTCCATTATTTGTATTTTGTTTTCAAGTTTTCAACCTGTGATTGATGTGAAGAAGCAAAAATTGCAAAAATAGAAGATTTCTCCAAATCTGGAGAAAGTAGAAATAAAAAGCTACATTTCCCATAATATCTGAACGTATTCACACACATTTTTATTAGAAAGTCAGGAACTATTAGCTGCTATCACTTTTTCACTTTGCAACTTGATTAAACATGGAGCAAAATAGAATAAAAATGGAAAATGATAATCATAATAAAATTTGGAGGAGGATTGATCTAAATCAAGTTATTGAACTTTCAGTGGAGGTGTAAGCTGTACTTGACCTTTGAATAGCATACCATGTTCAAAAAGTCATTAAGACCAAGAAGCGGATGCTGCTAGAATACATATCACACTGTTCCCGTTGGGGCATTTTCAGCAAGGAAGATGGCAGATTTCTTACTGGCATTCTTTTACCCATTAAAGAAGAAGCCAATAGTTGTTTTTACCTATTAATGATATTTATGATAAGCTTAATAAGCCTTCATTTAGAAAAAGAATAATGATTACTTGGTAATAATATAAAACAGAATGTTCCCCAAAGCAAGGAGCATCGCATATTGCAGCTATTGAATATGTATGCAGAATCCATTGTTTCTGGGTTCTTGCTACTATACAAACCAGTTGCTCAGAGGAGAATTAGTTTGGGATACCACCTACTCCTGCATGAAATCTTATGCTGCTGCTATTTAATTGTCCGCAAGCATTGAGTTATCCTTTAACATTTAGCAAAATGGGAGCATCTCAGGATATAGTATCTCTCCTTGTCAAAATAAGGAAATGCACTCTTTATGGTTTATCCATTTTATTTCATTTCTTAGCAAGATAAAATTAATATGTTGTGCCTGCCTTTGCATTGTATACAGAGCTGCTGGGGATTTTGCTATAGCTTTTGTCAAGATGAATGTCATTTCGGAGACACACAAAGTGTCTGCTCTCTGATTCCTGTGGTATGTGAAGCTGTGTGGGGGAACCACCAGAATCAGTTCTTTAACCAATGGGGAGCAGGTAGCACAAGTGATTAATTTGTCCTTCCTTTAGAAAGTTCAAAATGAATGAATGTGATCTTGCATTTGTGTAATATGGAAAGTTTTAAAGCATAATAAAGAATACTTTCCAAAAAGTTAGAGTAGCTTATCAGTTGTGGAACGGGTGTTCATTGTGGAAGGTCAAAAAAGTCAAGATGGTGACTGCTATCTTGGGTTTCGTTGGCTTCCCACTGCAGACATCTCAATCTAAAATAATTAATAAAAAAATTATTTATTGGCAGCGTTCTTAGATTTCTCCTGGAATTAGATTAATATTATTCCATTCACCCTTAATCTGTTCAGTACAATATTGACAGGGACTTGGGGGGATGTTATATTGGGTTTTATCTTTGTAAGCCATCTTGAGTCACTGAAAATGACTTGCAGCCATATAAATTTTCTTAAATAAATAAATACATTTGATTGGGACTTGAGCTTTATTTTAGGAAAGCTAGGCTGAGAAAGTCAAGGGTGAACGTACATAGAGCATGGAACACAGAATAGTAATAGGTTGGAAGGGACCTTGGAGATATTCTAATCCAATTCCCTGGTCAAGCAGGAGACGCTATATTATTTCAGATTAATGATTGTACAGTCTCTTTTTGAAAGCCTCCAGTGATGGAGCACTCACAACTTCTGAAGGCAAGTTGTTCCATTGGTTGATTGCTCTCACCATTAGAAAATTTCTCCTTAGTTCTAGGTTGCTTCTCTCCATGGTTAGTTTCCATCCATTGTTTCTCGTCTTGCCTTTTGGTGCTTTGGAAAATAGTTTGACCCCCTTGTCTTTGTAGGAGCCCCTCCAATGTTGGAACACTGCTATCATGTCTCCCTAGTCCTTCTTTTCATTAGGCTAGACATACCCAATTCCCGTAACTGTTCTTCATATGTTTTAGCCGCCAGCTGCCTAATCATTCTTGTTGCTCTTCTCTGCACTCTTCAGAATATAAACATCATTTTTATATATATTGTGCTGACCAGAATTTGTGGTCTTACTGAGTCTTTATAAAGTGGTACTAGAACTTCTCATGGTCTTGATTCTATCCCTTTATTAATGCAGCCTAGGATTACATTGGCTTTTTTGGCTGCTGCTGCATACTGTTGGCTCATATTTAAGTGATTGAATTAAGTATATGAGATCATCTTATACTGTATATATAAGTATATGAGTATATAAGTATATGAGATCATTACCTGACATAGGATTTTATATTTTAATAGGAAGGTGGTTCGGATTGTCTTTTTTTAAAAAAAATAATAATAATCCAGAATGAATGTGGGCTGTGAAGAAGGAGGAGAGGGAGGAGAAAGAGGAGATGGAGCAGCTCATTTACTTTGAACTGCAATTTTATTTTCATTGTTTTAAAGTCTTTTAGAAACACCATAGACCTTGAAAAGGCTCAAAATAGATTGAAATATAGAAATGTTTTTCAAAATCAGCAACCGTTCCTTGGTGGAGTATTGATTGTTACAATGTTATGATCAGGCCATATGAACTTTTAGGATACATGCTCAAAATATAATGTATTTAAACTATTTAATAAAGCCTCTTGAATAAAATCAAATAAAGCATTTGCTGGACAATTGTTCATTCAGTAGCCAGGAAATGTGTCATCTAACTCAGGGCTTTTCAACCAGTGGTACGGGTACCACCTGTGGTACATTGGCACCTGGCAGGTGGTACGCGACCATCCTAGGAAAGTGGTAGTGGGGGAGGGGAATGAGCTGAACTGGTGGCAGCACCACACAAGCCTGAGCGAGAGACGGCTGGAGCTGCAGGGCTGTCAGGGCTCAGCGGAAGCGCCAGGATCAGTGCCGCTTTCCAGCTGATCGGCACTTCTTTGGGGCTGTCAGGGCTCAGTGGAAGCGCCAGGATCAGCACCAGGCTCCAGCTGGAGCTCGGCTCTGATCCTGGCACTTGTGCTGAGCCCAGAAGAAGCACCAATCAGCTGGAAAGCAGCACTGATCCTGGCGCTTCTGCTGACCCAGAAGCGCCGATCAGCTGGAATGTTGCAGCATCTCCAGAGTCTTGTGATTTACATTCAGATGCTTGGCAACTGATTCATATTTATGATGGTCACAGTGTCCCAGGGTCATGTGAATTGACCAAAACCTGCTGCAACCACCCAGCAGACGGGGGGAATAAAAACCAAACACCCCCCACCCCACCCCCGCTGCCAATCCTCAACAGAAATGCTCACAACAATGAAAACCTCGGACAGGAGGAAGAGCGCCACCGGGTGGGCAGGCAGGTGTCTTGCTCGGCTGTGGCTTGGGGGGTACTTTTTTCAGTGCCATTGTAACTTCGAACAGTCACTAAGCGAACTGTTGTAAGTCGAGGACTACCTGTACTTTATCACTTTTTTCCTTTTTTGGGGAGGGTCATCATGTTTTTGACCCCTTGCTAGGCGCCTGGTGGTACTCGGATGTTGCCATATCCTAAAAGTGGTACAATGGGTGAAAAGGTTGAAAAGCCCTGATCTAACTGAGCCAAATTGTTCAGATAGATTCTATCAGCATGCAGCCTATGAAGTTTAACCTAGTACTTTTCAGTTGATATGAATCTGCTTCTGTGTAATCATTATCTAGTAATCCCAATTTTAATCCTGCCAACATGTTTTTGAAAGTTTGTTTTATTTCTCATTGTGGTTTATTCTTACAGCCAGTGCATTATGAAGAAAAGAACTGGTGTACAGAACAATATTCTGGAGGCTGTTATACAGCATATTTTCCACCAGGCATTATGTCCCAATATGGAAGGTAAAACAAAATAATAATGTTCACTTTTCTTGGCATTGCTCCCCCTCAGTTTTTGGATATTTGACAAACTATCAGAACAATGAGCTAATCTCATATTTGAAAGAAAGGTTTATAAAAATGCAATATATTTGGCAAAAATAAAGTTGCAGTTAGTGCCTTTGACTTTAATGCTGCTGAATAGAAGAAAGTCAAATGCAAAATCAGGGCTTAACTACAGATTATTATTTGTGGTTATGTTTTTGGAATTATGTGGAAACTGTTCAAATGGTAATGTCTTCGGGTAGCATATTTGCTGCTCTGGGAAAATAAAGATGGGAAGGAAGGAAATTAAATAGAAAGCTTCACTCTCTTTCAAATGGAGTTCGGCTACATTTACCCTTCAACTATTCAATAGTGCCAGCATCCCAGGCGCAGCTGGGATTAAAAGTTTATTCATACCAGATTCGAACTGTGGTAAAAGTCTTACTACTTGTGCAAGTAGCAGCATGGTAAAATTGATAGCAAAGATGTACCATTTTCTTTCTATTCTTGAAATTCACTATCATATTGGTTAAGTACGTGAAAAGCACCTCCCAAAAAATTAAAACACACAAAGAAGGATGTGGCAAAATGTTTGCGTTCCTTGAAACAAAACGTGACAAAGTTGCTAGAAAATGTAAGATGGCACCTGTTTTTGTTCATAAACATATTAGCTACAAGCGGAATTACTATCTCTCTATTTTATTTGTATGTGCTTTCTTTAAAGAATAATACGTGAGCCCGCTGGCAGAATCTACTTTGCTGGCACTGAGACAGCAACCCAGTGGAGTGGCTATATGGAAGGAGCTGTGCAGGCTGGAGAGAGAGCTGCTAGAGAGGTAAGCAGAACTGCTGCTATTGGCCACCTTCATGAAAGACCCAAATAAACTAGTTTTATTTGAAAGATGATCTGGGAACTTGGCATTGATACTTTCAATATTGTTGCACCAAAGAAAAATTAGAATGACCAAAGAACAATGAAATATATACTAAGATACTCTGATCCTTTTTAAATTCCTGACTGAAATTCCCAAGACAAATACCTGTATTGTACATATTATAGACAAATGGTCTCTTGGCAGTTTTTTTAATCTCTTCTATTCCAGTTGCATGATGCACTTGATACAAAAAGGATTATTGTTACTGGAATATAACTTTTCTCTTCCAGATATTGCATAGCATGGGAAAAATTTCAAAGAATGAAATTTGGGTAACAGAATCAGAATCAAAGGCAAGTGTGCTGATAAATGATCTTCTTAGAACTCTGAATACTTGTCTATATATTGCCTGTGTACTTGACTGTATCACTCTCCTGTTTTGGGCCTAATGGAAGATGAAGATGTCTAATGAAAATTTGATTATGGAGTTAAGAACAAATTTATTAGCCCAGTTTGTTGAGAATATATTTAAAGAATGTTTAAACTGTTTAAAGAAAAACAGTTGAAAATCTTTGCCGTTTCTTGCAGATTTTACTTCTTCCACCATCTCACATTTACATAGAAAATGAATACAAATACATACCTTTGAAGTAACTCTACATGTTTAGGATACCATTGCAACTTGGTGCACAATGCATTATTATAGTAAAATGGAGAGTAGAAATACCATAGAAACTTAATGGATTTTCATCCTATTAGATTTTAGATCAGTTGCTGGTACTAATAGGAAGTTTCCTCACATGCACATTTAATAGATGAACACAGTTCTACTAAAGAAATATATAAATTAGTTTGTTTAAAATAATAAAATCTGGTTTCCCCTTCCTTCCTCTAACTATATTTATACACATGAATAAATCTAAGTTCAAGGCAGAACTACTTTGCCTTTTTCCTGCACTGTTTTCATATTGCCTAACAAGAAAGGGGGGGGGATAGAAACTGAAACCATATAAATATTTATAAATCTCACCAAAAACTGCTGTGGATGGCATACAACAATTGGATAAAAACCACAGATATAAAGACAACAGAAACAAAAAAAAATCTACATTAAGAAATAATTAGTATAAAGAACAAATATCTAAACCCCTGGATGAAGAGAGAATAAAAACAGCCACCTCAACATTGGAGCCATCTAAGCGTACCTCTGGTTCCCTGGAAGCTCCAAGCCTCATAACATAACCAGGTCTTGAGGGCCTTCTGAGAGATCAAAAGGGGTGGAGCTAATTTAAACTTGAGAGGACTCGTGTTTCCTAAGGTGAGTGCCATGGCAGAGAAAGCACGTCTTCTGGGACCCACCAAATGTAGATCCCTAGCTGATGGTACCTTCTCTGCCTGATCTAATTGGGCAGGTTGAAATAACTGCAGAGAGGTGGTCCCTCAGAAAGCGTGGCCCCATGCCATGAAGGGCTTTAAAGGTTAAAACCAGCACCTTGAATTGGACCCAGAAGCAAACTGGTAACCAATGCAGTGTGCGGAGCAGAGATGTAGCATGCATTGTTCTAGTAGCAAACATAACTTCTGTATCATTGCACTCTGCATTGCACAGCTGAAGCTTTGAGATACTCTTCAAGGACAGCCCCATGCAGAGTGTGATGCAGTAACCCAAGGAAAAACTATAAGCATTTTAATCATCCATAGGAAGTATTACTTTACAGGATGACATTTGCACATACCAAGGGGATTATTCCTGATGCTTGGAAGAGTGATGGTAACTAAGTGAATATGTGATTAAGAAAGAGACACACAGAAAGGGAGAGACATTGTGAAGATCACTAATTCTCTTATTCTCTTTCAACTATGCCAGCATAACTCTCACTCTGGTGTGTGTTGTTGTGAGGCACACAAAATTTGGTTATAAGTGCACACATTGTTTGAAAAATGATTTTTTTACTGCCATTTATTACCATATTTGCGAATATTTTGTAAACGAGGTAACCAATAGATAAGGTGTGGCTATAATAAACCCAATGAATAGAAACCAGATCTGAATGCATTTGTCTTTATCTTTAGATATTCCAAAGCTCAATTTTTTTGATGATTAATGATGATGGTCCAAACTATTTGCCATAGTTAATACGATTCAGTGAAATGTGTATTTTAATTTTATTAGTGTTTTGCATTAATATGTGGCATCAGTTCAGTTCAGAAGTGGACAATAGATGCTCAACTGCATTTAAGCAGTTTCTGAAAAAAGAAGTATATCTAAGTATGTGTTTTCATAGAATTAAATACCACTGAATTGAGGTAGTGTTGCAGCTTCAAGCTACTCAGATGGCCCTGCTCTAACAATTACTGTAAATATGTTTCATCCTAGGAGGTTCCAGCGATTCCAATTACCACTACATTTTGGGAGAGAAATTTGCCATCTGTTCCTGGACTGCTGTTCTTTCTTGGATGCTCTACTTTCATCACCTCATTGGCTACAACTGGATTCTTGGCCTACAAAAAGGGACTTCTTTCCCGATAATGTATCTGAGCCACAATTTTCCATTTATTTCCTTCATGCTATGAATTCTGTTCCTGAAAAAGCTGTCTTTCATACCCTTTGGAACACCTGGATTAAGACATCCCAACCAATTTAATTCACTTTCCTTTAGAACACAAAGGGAGCCAGGAAACATTCGCTTTTCTTTCCTGAGTGACTTCCTGCTTAAAAGTTGGTGACCCCTCATCATATCTTTCTGTGTAATGTATACTGTAATGAGAACAAAGCAGGCTTGTCATAATCATTGTAAAAGTTCCACATGTCTTTATGTTTTCAAAATCTTATGACGAACAAAGTGAGTGCTGAAGGCTTACTCCAACTTCTCCCTTCCCCAGTCTGTTCCCTCTGGTTGTGTTGAACTGCACTCTACGTTGGTGGAGTTTAAGGGAGGAATGCAGCCAACACATCCTTCAGGCACTGGAGGCAAGGGTGGGGAACGGGTGGGTACTCTACTTGTTAAACTACCTTCATATTCTATCAAGGGCCTGCTAAATTTCATATGCTGCTGTTTAAAAAAGTAAATGCTGCAAAAAGGACATTGCTTGCGTCCTGCTAGTATTACATTCCCTCAAACCTTGATAAAACAATACATAATGTGAAAAGGGAGTTGTGGTCTGTGGTGTTAAATTCTGCAATCCAAATACATTGACAAATATTCTCATACATTTCTATAACCTTAATCTTTTTCAGTAAATAACTAAAATATGTTTTCTTTCTTGTCTTCGTTCTATGTACAACGAAAGCATTTTCTCTATCTTGTCTGTGGCTGGATTTCTAATGCACGTGGTTATTATGGCAGATGAAGAGACTGAATGCATCATGGCACTATGAATATTATCAGGATTTTCTGTTATGTTGCACCCAATAGAGTAACCCAGGTTAAAAGCTTGTCCTAATGCCGAGGACCCATCATGCTTTGGCATGATATAATATATCCAACTTTGTTTCCAGAATTATTTTCCCTTTTATATAAGTGGTTTGGAAAAGTTTTTGGCATCAATTTCATCCGTGGCAATAGTAGTAGCTATTACAAGTATGGAAGTAAGTGGGAGAAAGGATGCACAAACAGATCAATGAGCAAATGCATGAATGAGAGCAGAAAAGAGTTTTGGCAAGAAAATATCCAGTTTTGGCAGGGAAACAACTCAGCATGTTTCCAGATCTTTGGCACAAATTCATTACACTGGCACAAATCATATGAAAGTGATTTATTTATATATTCATTTACATAAAGTGAATTCCTGGATAATAATAATAATAATAATAATAATAATAATAATAATAATAATAATAATAATAATAATAATAATAATAATAATAATAAAGTTGGAAGGGACCTTGGAGGTCATCGAGTCCAACCCCCTGCTCAGGCAGGAAACCCTATACCAGACATGTCAAACACAAGGCCCGGGGGCCGGATGCGGCCCGCGAAGTGGTTTCATGTGGCCCGCGAAGCCATCCTGGAAACAGTGAGGGAACGGCCACCGCTGCCTTGGCCCTGGCCCAGGCTGGCCGGGAGCCAATGTAAAATTTTGTGGTGGCCATTTATGCTGAAACACATTCAGTCTTAGCTCCACAAGGCCATCTGGAAACAGCGAGGAACCAGCCCCTGCCGTGTCGGCCCCGCCTCCTGGGTGCATGCTGGGGAGGTGTCACCCTTTGTGAGGAATGAAGAAATGGACCATGCTTTGGCGCTTGCCCCGGTCCCACCCCTTTCTCCAGAGACCCTCAGATCTGTCCCACGCCTGCCCAGGCCCCCACAGGCACCCTTGATGCGAACGATGTAGAGCTGGCCATGCCCACCCAGTAGGCCACACCTACTCCCTCCACGCCCACCCAGTAGGCCGCACCCACCCTGGCCACATCCACCCGGCCCCCCAAGGGCAACTGCAATGCTGATGCGGCCCTCAATGAAATTGAGTTTGACACCCCTGCCCTATACCATTTTGGACAAATGGCTGTCCAGTCTCTTCTTAAAAACTTCCAGTGTTGGAGCATTCACCACTTCTGGAGGCAGGTTGTTCCATTGGTTAATTGTTCCAACTGTCAGGAAATTTCTCCTTAGTTCTAGGTTGCTTCTCTCCTTGATTAGTTTCCATCCATTGCTTCTTGTCCTGCCCTCAGGTGCTTTGGAGAATAGCTTGACTCTTCTTTGTGGCAGCCCCTGAGATATTGGAACACTGCTATCATGTCCCCCCTCGTCCTTCTCTTCATTAAACTAGACATACCCAATTCCAGCAACCGTTCCTCATGTTTTAGCCTCCAGTCCCCTCATCATCTTTGTTGCTCTTCTCTGCACTCTTTCTAGAGTCTCAATATATTTTTTACATTGTGGTGACCAAAACTGGATGCAGTATTCCAAGTGTGGCCTTACCAAGGCATTGTAAAGTGGTATTAATACTTCAAGTGATCTTGATTCTATTCCTCTGTTAATGCAGCCCAGCACTGAGTTGGCTTTTTTGGCAGCTGCAGCACACTGCTGGCTCATATCTAAGTGATTGTCCACTAGGACTCCGAGATCCCTCTCACAGTTACTACTATTGAGCAAGGCACCCCCTATACCAGGGGTAGGCAACCTTGGCTCTTTTATAACTTGTGGACTTCAACTCCCAGAATTCCTGACTCAGCATGGCTGGTACAGGAATTCTGGGTATTGAAGTCCACAGTCATAAAAGAGCCAAGGTTGCCTATCCCTGCCCTATACTATACCTGTACATTTGGTTCTCCTTGCTCAAATGCAAAACCTTACTTTTTTCACCATTGAATTTCATTTTGTTAGATAGCGCTCAATGTTCAAGTCTGTCCAGGTCCTCCTGTATCTTAAGCCTGTCTTCTGGAGTGTTGGCTATTCCTGCCAGCTTAGTGTCATCCGCAAATTTGAAATGATGAAAATGATCAGTC